GGCACATGAAGTACTACCATGGACGGGAACAAGAACGGTCCTGATAGCCTACACACCACAATGCATGGGAAGGTTGTCCACTGAGATGATCCAAGAGCTCGAGACTAAGGGCTTCCAACCCCCGTTGTCCCAGTACCCAGAGTATTTCCTGGCCCAGGACCCTCAACCCATGGAGGCCAAGGTGGAAGTCCAGTCCCACGACCAGGTGGAGTATGCGACTGCTGAGGACTTGGATGGTAGCGACGTGGAAGAACTCTGGGAGATGTACTTGGACGTTGATGGCGGCAAGGTGAAGATTGGGGATGACGAGACGGAGCATCGAGAGCAACCACGCCCTCGTTTTATGAAGGTCGAGGCGGGGTTCACAAAGAATGTGGAAGCGATTCTACAAGAGCTCAAGGGGCCCATCGAGGTGACCTACAACGTCGACCCCAAGGAGGTGGCGGACAACATGGGCCTGTGGATGGGAGCAATTCAGAAGGAGCTTGATGGTGTGTCTGTAGCGATCAAGAAGCTTCTCCCCAATACTGAGGAGAGGGTGAAGTGGATGCGGCGACCAGGTGCGCAGAAGCTCCCGGCCAAGTTCGTGTACACCGTCAAACCAGCCGAGAACCCAGACTCAGCAGACAAAGCAACGTGGTTCAAAAGAAAAGCGAGGCTAGTGGTCTGTGGAAACTATGCATCCCCAGACCAGTCTGAGCTGTACTCTGAAACGGCTCCGTCGGAAGCCGTCAGGGCAGGCCTGGTGATGTCCCGAAGGCGAAAGTGGATGATTGGTTTGATCGATGTCGTTGCTGCCTTTCTACGAACCCCGCTGAACCCGGAGGACGGCTCACCGACTATAATTGTGACATACGTGGACGATATCCTCTTGCTGGGCGAAGAGGAGACGATTCGGGAGGTTGCGGAGACTATTCAGGGCGAGTGGAAAACCTCTGGATTGGCGTTCCTCCGACCAGGACATCCTCTACGCTTCCTGGGCATGGAGTTGGAGATCAACGACGAGGAAACGGAGCTCTATGTGAACCAGAGGAGCTATATCGAGGAGGTTCTCAGGGCCTACGGCTATGCGGAGGACGACCGGGACAAGATCCCGCTCTCCAAGGAGCACGCCTACTTTGAGCGCCTGGAAAGCGACCCAGAGCCCACTACCGAGATGATCTCGGCAGCCCAGAAGATCACGGGTGAGATCATGTGGATTGCCCACAAGACGCGACCAGATGTTGCATTCACGTGCTCATTGATGGCATCGATCACCCTGAAGGCCCCGGACCGGTGCCTGACTATAGGGTACAAGGTGCTCAGGTATTTGAATGCCACCAAGGACGTGAAGATGATTATCAAGAATGACCACACGGACCTTGTGCTCTACCCGGACGCGGCTTTCGCACCATCAAGCGAGAAGAGCCATACAGGATGGGTGGTTTGCTGGTCGGGAACGCCAATAGCCTGGAGAAGTGGGCGACAGAGCACAATTGCCTTGAGTACAGCGGAGAGCGAACTCACCGCCATCGTGGATGGGACGATCGGCATGATGGGCCTGGAGGCGCTACTGGCGGATCTACAAGTTGAACCCACGGCGAAACTGGTGGCGAGCGATAGTACAAGCGCTTTGGCGATTGGGGCCGGGACAGGCTCCTGGCGTACGCGCCACTTGAGACTGAAGGCAGCTTGGGTGCAAGACATGATAGCCACTGGAGAAGTGCTGACCCGGCATCAGCCAGGTTTGACGCAGCCCGCGGACCTCCTCACGAAGCCGCTGAGCAGCCAAAGAATAAAGGCGTTGCTAGGCCTGTGGGGAACAGCTTCACAGGAGGAGAGTCCTCCGAAGGGCGAGCGAACAATCTCAACGAGTGGATGCTCGACGCGGATGATGGTTGCTATGGTGTGTTGCTTGTTGATCCTGACGGTAGAAGCAAGAGAGGCTACCCCTACCAGGCAAGTTGAGCTGGACTGGGATATGGCGGCGGTGATGATGGGTCTTTTGATGATCCTTGGAGGCCTGCTTCTCTATGAGGGGGTGAAGTGGGGAGCCTTCGAGATCTACTACAATTACACCCCAGGAGCCTCCAGCAGACGCTTGAGAAAACTGCAAAAGCTGAGGGAGGCTACGTCGCTGGCAATCCAAAGGGAGCTCGAGAGGGTGACCCAACCGTCGACTATGTCATCGTCACGATGGGAAGATGGAGGAGAACGAGATCAACCTCCGACAAGGCCTACGACGACGATGTCACCGCCGCGGCAGCGGCGGCCGGTGCGAGAGGTCACACCAGAACCACGACGCAGAACGGAGCCCATGCGGACCCCACCTACATATGACGGACCTACGGAGCCGATGAGTTCACCGGCACCATCGGTTGGTTGGAACGAAGTCGAACGAGTTGGTGGAGGTTCAGCTGATGATCGACGCGTGTGTGTTGATGCCGTGATGCTAATGCGGCTAGAGGAAATAAAGGAGGGGTTACGCATTTGTGGCCTTGCGCAGTCAGGACTGAAGATCGATGCAGCTACAAGGCTTTCAGAGGTCCTAATCGGACATCTTGGAGGCTCGACTGGACCGACCGCCAGACAGTTACGCTACATCTTGTGGTTGTGGCGAGATCGTAACCTGAGTGGCCGTACATTACTGAGCTGGAGGGGTATAGAGTCCAGAGTTGAGGCTTCAAGAACCATAGCCCGGCTGAAGGCTATGCAACCATGACACTGCGCCCCTTCCGGAGCGAGCGAGGAGGAGTGTGAAAGAACCCTCTTCAGCCAGGTCTATGCCGGCGCCGCCCGTGTGTCAAGGGAAGGCTACGAAGTAAAGCCCCTTGTGCCATGACATGCTCTGTCCGCAAGGTAACACGTTGCGCTTGTACAAATAAGCAACAGCACTTGCAGCAGGACTTTTCAGAGCTGTGTATAGCGATGTCGAGAGCACAAACTTTGCAGATGACGAAGCAGAGACAGCTCTTTTGTGTGCCGTAAAAGTGATTGCGAGAGCCATGCATTCATAAGCCATGGTTACAATTCGGTGATGGTAGAACCATCTGAGAGGAAGGTCCCACGAGCCTTCCAACAAAACCCTAAACCTTAAACCCTAAACCCCACTCCCTCAACCCTAAACCTTACACCCTAAACCTTAAGCCCTAATCCCTAAACCTTAGACCCTAAACGCTAACCCCCAAAACAACAGAGGCAGCTCCTTCTCACGCTCCAGGGAGTTGCGCTTCAGCCATTTATCCTGATCACTTGGAGGATCATGGGACTTAGTAAGTAAGGTTATAAGTACCTTAATTGGGGTCATAAGTATAGTTATCCTAATTATGACCCTAGTTACTCCTGATTATAGAACCCCTCTAGACCCCTTTAGAGGAGCCCTTGAAGGAACCGTAGTTACTAAGTCCCATGATCCTTTAAGCAAGCAGCCCTGAACCCTCAGCCTTAAGCTCCAGACTCCCGGGTTGAGGGTCTAGGGGTGAGTTTACGGGTTTAGGGGTTAGTTTAGGGGTTTGGGGGTCAGCTTAGGGGTTTAGGGGTTAGTTTAATTAGGGGTTTGGAGGTTTAGGGGTTTAGGGGGTTTCGGGGTTAGTCTACCCCACAAGGATTAGGGCGGCTACGCCCGAAGCTTGGGGATTCCGGAGCTTGGAGCCGTGGGCTTCGGGGATGCGGTAGCATCTACACCGTTTAGGGTTCAGGGTTCAGGGTTTAGGGTTTCGGTTTAGGGTTTAGGGTTTGGGGCATTCATCATCCTTGCTGTTGTTGCTTCTGCTTTTTGTGGCCTTGGACCCCAAGAGCCCGAATTCATCGCGAAAGGCATAGGGGTTTGGGGTTCCGGGTTTAATGTTTAGGGCCTAGGGCTTGGAGTATGACGAAGAGGATGGCTTTGTCCGCAACATTTCAAATCCGCCTGGAAGAAATACTTCAGGTCGAAGGTGGGGATCACGAAAAGGCCGTACTCCCTGGGCGCGTCAGAGGTTTAGGGCTTGGAGGATATCAGGGTTTGAAGAATGCCCAATGTCGCATCCGTCGTTTACTTCACAGGCCGGGGACCCAGACCCAGACCACAAAGCACCAACCTCCTCTCAACATGCAACATCTGGACCTTCATGCGGACGAGAAGACTTCAGCTTCCGAAACTGTGAGTGCTATCGCATGTCATCTTTGCCGATCACACCACAAGCAAAAGCAAGCACTTACAACTCGTTCGTCGCACGTAGCATTCCAAACTAATGCATGCCTCACTATGTTGGGATCCACTCTTAATGGCAGCCACAAGCGCAGTATCAGTATGAATATCTGGGTGTGACATGTGTATCTGCAGTTTCGTGCCAAGCTATATTCATTTCTGTTGACCGTACTGGTGACCATCGCGCTCCACTGTTTTCCCTTTCACGCGAGCGGATGGCAGAGTCCACTGTTTCGCTAGTAAGCCTCTGGAACACAGAGGGTAATGCATTGGTAGAACCGGGAAACACCCGGGTCCCACACAGAAACGTTAGCCGAGATTCGGTACAATTGTCTGTACGAATCTGACCCAACCGTTCCCGCAACGGACGTATGTCACACATACTGCCCCTGTACCTTAAAAGAGGAGAACGGTACAAACCTAGGTTACAGACGACTCCACCGGAGGTCGGCAACCCAGGGCGGGCGGGTGGGAGAAAAAGGAAGTACCAGCTTGCCAGGTTTGGCTCTAGCTGAAGCTTAAGCCAAAAATTGCAATCAGGTACAAGGTTCCTCAGAAATGAAACATGCACACCCAAGCCTGCCAAACTCAATGCATGGACACATTTCTGTTGACCGTACTGGTGACCATCGCGCTCCACTGTTTTCCCTTTCACGCGAGCGGATGGCAGAGTCCACTGTTTCGCTAGTAAGCCTCTGGAACACAGAGGGTAATGCATTGGTAGAACCGGGAAACACCCGGGTCCCACACAGAAACGTTAGCCGAGATTCGGTACAATTGTCTGTACGAATCTGACCCAACCGTTCCCAAAGCACTCTCCCAATGCACTACACTAGAGAAACTCCAGGACCACCACTACCGCCTCCAGTGGCAGCGCCCACAGCTCATGAGGGAAATGAGCACGAAAGGTGGAAAACAGGTGCGACTGATGCCACACATCATCCGCGCCCTCGCGGCTAATGGAGTCACTCCAGTTGGATTTGGACGGAACCCATTCCCAGTAGACCCATGTCTTGAAGCAGAAAAGGCAAAGATGGATCAATTGGGCTAGGCGAGAGAGGTCCGCGTTGTCTGATCGACCACGTATGAGGCTCATAAGAGCCGCGGTATTGTCAATGTACCATACACCCCTCCTGGATCTGAAGTGGCTGGGTCGAGAGACCAGGGCATAGAGGACCATGCTCAATTCCAGTTGCGCAATTTTCTTCTCGCCTGGACCCCAAAGGGGGTACAGGCTAGCTGGCGACTCTGCGACAAACCCTTCGCGCAGCTGACCCTTTGGGTGTTGCCAGACGATCAGGAATCCGCCTGATCACAAAGAGGTGCTTCTTCGGCTGCGTCACTCGCAGCTATGAAGCGTTGGATCCGCGGCCGCATGATCCAGAATTGGCGCTGAGGGCGGAGCCGGAGAATTGCCGAAATCAGGCGAAAGCAAGCACGGATCTCTTCCGTGAGCCCAACCTCGCGTGAGTTTTGGCGTTCTGAGAGGGCTGCCAGCCCCCCGCAACCTACCCGGCCATACATCCCTTGCTCCGAGAAGTTCATAAGGCCGAACATCTTGGAGGGAGCCGGAGGAGGTAGCCTGCTCGATAAGGTCAGCCATCTTGTCGAATAGGCGCTCTCTCGCCCAAAAGGTGACGAAGCCTTGGGAAAGGGCCTCGGATAAGACATGATCCAGCCCCAGGAACGTGCCATGTGCCGACATAGGCTGCCGCTTTTCTGCAGCGAACGGCGTCCCTAACAGGGTGTTGATTGACCCAACGGCCCACTGGCCCGAGCCTTTGGACGATGCCCAATCGAGCAGGTTGAAATCGTCGAAGTAGGAGGAAGCCACTGTAAGGGCCAGCCTCCGAGAGGCTGCTTCGGAGAAACGACTGTAGCGGTTGAAAGATGTAACTGCCAGTGGGAGCCCAAATAGAAGCCCGGCATAGATCTGATAGGCGGGTGCTTGCCATTCGTGGTGCCACCATACCACCAAGCAAGCCAGGGACTCCTCTTCGCTCATTGGGCAATGCCGATAAGCATCAGGCCAGTCTTCCCCCCCAGATTCCAAAGAGTCACTCTCTTTGGCCTCTTCGAGGTCTTCCGGGGGAACTCGAGCCACGATGGCCTGCGCATGCTGACCCGGGCGCAAGGCACTGCAAAGGACAAGCTTGTTGGAGTCATAGGACGTCTCAGATTGGCCACCCGCGTCCGCGTTGTCAATGATGCGCTGTTTACCAGAGGACTGAGTAATTACGCAGCGTGGGATGAGGCGGTACGGGCGCCCCTTGAGTCGACGCAACAGCGCGGCCTCAGTAAGAGGCGGGGAGCAAAATCCAGCCTCATGATCCTTGGTGGATTGCTGCAACAAGAAAACGTCGTCCTTGGACGGTCCGATCCTGGAAAGCATACGAGCATTGTGGGCCCGCCAGTCACCCATCACCTCGTCAAAGGAGATGCGCGAAGTGGGCAGCTGTGGGAAGACGCCGTAACACGGCGCGAAACCCACCGCTGGCATTCCCACCACCAGGGCAAATGGCAGAGCCGTGTCAGGCCAGGAGAACAGCACAACGAGTAGCGCCACTAGCCCAATGTCCCGAGCAGCCGTCACACGGTGTAGGGAGGGGGCCTGGAAGCGCCGCAGGGCGACATCGACTGGGGCCCACCTGCGCTTGAGTTCACGTACTGCACCGATCGCATTCTGGCGCAGGGATCGCAAGCTTGTTCGATTGGCTGCTGTGAAGTCGGCGGCGAAGCGGAGGTCGGGGTCCAAGATAGGTTCGCGCTCCGTGGGGACTGGTTCGTGAAGGCGCGCAAGAGAATGGCAGAAATGGTCCTCTTCTGATAATCCAAAGGACAGAAGAGGAGGCAAGGCTGCCCTCTGGCTTAGAGCTCCCGCCTGCTGTCCCGCAGCACGCTGGAAGATACGGGCCGACTGGGGAGCCAAAGTAGGCCCGCAAGGCCCTGTCCAATCAGCTCCCGAGTCTCGCAGCCACCTTGTGTACAAATCAAACGGTGGAGCGTTGATCAAGTCTTCAAGGAACGGGAAGGTAACTCCTTCCAACCATTCTGCCGGAAAAAGCTTGCAGACTGCCCCAAAGACATCTTCTTGCCGCAAGTAACAGGAGAAAATTTGGGATGCATCCGCCAACGGAGCCACTGCCAACCCGAGCGCACGGAGTGGACGACCAATCTGGCTACTCCTGCGCTTCTTATTCGGCGGCCTCCGTTGCAATGGCTTGGCTTCCATGTTCCTGTCCGACAGCTCTTCAAAGACGAGCCCGGCAAGGGCATCACCTTCCGACGGCCAGGCGGTGATCTCATCCACCACCAAGGTCTTCCCAAAGAGTTCTGGGAGCTGGTCTCCCAAGTTGTCCTTGATGTGCTGCACGTAACGAGGCAGGAACTCGTCAAACGAACAGTCGTGGCCCGCCACCATGGGGGCTGCCCATTTGGTGCGTGGCAGGCGGTGTGAATGGTGGCCTTGGCCAATGTAGATGGCTCCTGGTGGTAGCAAACCGTCCTCACGCTGGATCTCTGCCACTGCCCTGCGTTGTGGGATCCGATTCGCTTCCTCCGGCGGGGTCAAGCCAAGGGAGATAGCTAAAGGGGCCATCGCCCAGGCCCGCAGTGCTCGCGGATCGAAGCTAGTCCAGGCTTCCCGCCGACCAACACAGCCCGGGACCGGCATCCTTGGGACAGCCAGCTTAGCGCGGCCCACTCTGGCAGCCCACCACGAGGCTGACACTGCAATCGCAAACGCAAGCGGGGCTGTGTATTCCGCTTCCTCCTGCGACGGGAACCAGTGTTTGCCATCCACGGACTGAGGGTCCCACTCGCCTTTACCATGGATATGGTGGCACTGAATCGCCGGCCAGTCTGCGATTTCTTGCAAATTGTGCCTCAGTCGCTGGCGCTTGTAGCGGGCTCCACCCCAACAACACGCATCATAGTGTTTGTCTTGCCACAAGCCCGACTGGAAAGACTGCACCTCCTGGGGGAGAAGCCAATGCAAGCTGTTGGCTGGATTCTCGCGCACTGACCCGACGCCCTTCTCGGCCGCTTGCTGAATAGCATCGAGGACAAAGGAACATGCTCTGTTGTCTTTGTCCACTCGCTCCTGCTCAGCCTTGCTAAGCCCACCCAGTCCCTCTGGGCATGATGCAGATCGAAGCGGCCTAGGTGCCGGCCTGCCATCCTCAAAGGAGCGCGGGATGTCCCGCGCGCGGCTCTTGGTGGAGCAGTCGAAAGCTGCCGCTATGAAATCGACCTGCTGGAGCTGTGCTGCCAAGCTTGATTGCCTGAGTGGGTTAGCCAAGTCATGGGATGAATCGAGCTTGAGATCCACCGGCAGGCACTGCCAGCCGCAAAAGAGAAAAGCCTTAGAAAGCGGTGCGTTGGGTCCGGAAAAGAGATCCGCCATGACAGGGATTGATCTGGGCGATGCAGGAGCCTCTGACCCCAGGGAGGGGGTCGCCTCCCCCTCCCCTGGGCACCCTCAAAGCTTGACCTTCTGCTTGCACTGCGAAGCACCATGCTTAGCCGATCCGCAGACTCTCTCGCCCTTGAGAACCACGCCGCATCTATGCAGATCGGGGCATTGCTTGCCTCGCGCGCAACGGCCCTCTTGATAATCCTGGCATAGTCGTTTGCCATCTTTCATCATCTGCGCCACCTTCTTCCCGTTGACGCTCTTGCCCAAGGCGAAGGAAGATGGCTTGGGGGGGGGCTGCGGGGCCCCTCCCTGTGGAGGCTTCGCTGGGGAAGCGGACAAGGCCTCGCTTGCGGAGCCCGATTGCACCGGTATCCAGTGCGCATCGCGCAGGTCGAGCACCTCGCGCACCACGGCACCGAGCGTCTTGGTGGACTCCCTGAACTTGGAGACCCAGACTGCGCGCTCTTCGTTGTCCTTGTGCTGAAGCCAGGACAGTGTCTTAGGCCCTTGTACCTGAGAGACCGACCTTTTCGCTCGATGGAAGTACTCCATGAGCACGTCCAAGGGTGCATGCACGAACTGCGTGGTATCGGACCCCACCGTGTTCTCCCCGTTAGCGGGGGGAGAACCCGCCACGGGCTGGACCCCAGCCAACGCATATGCTGTGAGGAGAATCTGCAAGCGGTCAAGGTAGGACTCGCAGTCGCGAGGGATCACCTCGTCCTGGTCTTGATCCTCGGTGTACAAGTTATCCCCAAGTTTGCGCTTCTTGCTAGTGCTCAAAAGCTGAAACTGGAGACTCTTGACCTTCCAGACGCTGAACACGCACAACATTCTTTTGTTGAGCTCTCGCGTCACTCGCGAGAGCGTGGCGTCTGATGGATACAGTTCCGGAGGGAACCTGGTTTTGTAACGCCGCCAAAACTGCTGCTTCATGTCGCGCAAGGAACTGTCATCAAGAAGATCATCCAGATCCGGGACCCGGCCTGCGTCGGCATGCTGGAAGAAGACCTTGACGGCCGCCCAAGTACGGCGCAGGCGGGCCGTTTGCAGCGGCTGCTGGTCTCCTAAAGACAGCTTCTGGACCCAGAGGCCTATCTCCCCTTCTGATTCGAAGAAGTAGCGAAATTCTTCGAGATTCTTGATCTTCTGCTTGACCAACGCCTCAAGCACATCATCGGAGAACTCAAAATTTAACTGCAATGACTCCATGGTCGCACGAAAGTCTGCACCGTCCCTCGGCACAAGACTAAAGGAAGCCATGGCTGGAGAAACCGACGGTAACTCCGCCTGATCGCTAAGGTCTGTGCTCTCCTCGGGCTGAAAACTGCGCCATATCCTGCCGAGACGGAAGGGAGAGCAAAGAGAAGAGGGGAAAGAGAGCGGGCCGAGGAGAGGAGAGCAGAAGCCGACTTAAGGAAGAGAGAGAAGCACATGTGCACATGAGAGGCTGCAGCAAGCCCTCGGAGAATGCAGGCACTCTGCATTCACTGGCACACACCCTCTGTTTCCTTTGTGGCGACGGCCGGGCGGGTCGAACCCCTCCTAATGACAAGCTCTGTGCTTGCCACTGAGCCTCAATTTCTGAGGGCCCCGGCAAGAAGGCCAAGCGCGGAAAGGTTCACGCGCAGAAGTCCGGTCCCTCCGGACGTTGCACCCTCACATGTGATCACCTCACTTTGGGTGGAATACTGCCGATGCTCGCTGCAAGCAGTCACGACACCGTTGATAGCCTTGAGCTTCTTGGAGGTCTTGAACCTTGGTACAATCCCGGAGGCGTTGACCTGCCTCTTGTCCTTGGCGGTGGCGACATAGCGGTACGCCGTTGCCTAAATCGAGGTGGACCTGAGACCGGTCAGTAAACATATATCCTGTTGGCGTCGGCCAGCGCACTCCAACCACCGCCGTACGGCGGATGTTACGGACCCATTGCGCAATGGTGCCTTGGTCCATCACTTTATATATTTGACATTCCCGAAGGCGACCCACTGTGGCCTGAGCCTGTTCAAAGGGGACATCGGTGAGCAAGGCGAGAAGCAGCGCTTGGCCAGTCGCAGCACGGTGCCGTCCCGCAACGCAATGTCCCAAGACGGAGCCTCCACTCACAAGAGTCTGGCGAATGACCGGCCAGCACTCCTTCCATTGCCTGTCCCTGGACCGAGCGTCCGTGATTGCCACCTGCATCTGCAAAGCTCCAGGAATGATCGCACCGCCGCGGGAAGTGAGGGACTCGGTCAGCCAAGACAGCTGGAGGTCACACCTCGGATAAGCATGCAAGGTCTCGGCCGTGGGCATGCCAGATAACCAGAGGGTCCCTCCCTCGCGACTTTCCCAAAGCTTCGTGGGGGGCTGAATGCGCTTCCCCCCGATGGTGGCAATGCTATCGAAGTGGCGCTCCAGAGCGCGACTCTCAGCCGCATCATCCTGGCGGTCCCTCCGCCCTCCAGTCCGTCCTGAGACTCTTGGTGGGCTGGATGCAGCACGCCTTGGAGGGGGGGTCGAAGGCTGCACCGGCCGACTGCGAGGCGGCGTAGCTGGCTCAGGGATGCCCGAACCACTGGCGGACGCGGAAGCAGAAGATCTCGGTGGCGGGTGAGCCGGCTCCTGCGCAACACGGTGCCTCTTCAAAGGAGGGAGATCCGAGGACGAGCTCCCAGAGCCAGCCAAAGCGCCCCGGCTCTTTGGCATGGCCTTGACCTGGATCGTCTTCGTCTTGAGCTTCAAGACCACAGCGCCGGCCTTGGCACGTGTCCCCGTCCTCGGCGGAGATTCGGGAGCCTTCACAAAGCGCTTGACCCGGCAGACCCCAGCACCGTGGGTTCCGCCGCACACCCTCCCCGACTGCAGAAGAATGGCGCAGCGATGTCGGCCGCCAGAGCACTCATCGCCCTGATGCCGGCAATGGCCCGCCTGAAAAGCAGCGCATAGCTGCACTCCATCCCGCAAGATAGCCGAGAGCCGCTTGCCCCCAATCTGCCGCAGCATCATTGCTGCAGCTGCCGCAGGCACCGGCACCGCAGCTGGCAGTCGAAACCGTGGCTGAATCTCTTCAGGGGAGAGCTGGCCCTGCCACACCGTGTGGTTGTCCTTCTGAACGGCTCTGTCCATACCCAGGGCACCGTCCCGCTCGGCGGCCTCCAAGGCCTCCTGAGTAACCTCATCCCAGGAAGTAAAGCGCACCAAGCTAGCAACAGCGTTGATGAGGCAATGCTTGCGTCGCACTGTGACGCCGTGTAACGAGTGCTGGCGTACCGAAGGGGCATGGAATTGCCCTCCTGGCGCAGGCGTGTGGCATCCTGCCAGTCCCCCAGCGACAACTGCTGCTGGGGGGACCAGCCAGCCAACGTAGCGAAAGAAGGGCCCACTCTCCTGAAGCTGTACGTGCTGACCTGGGCGGCACCTGCAGCAAGCAAGGGGGTGTACAAATCCTGAGCCAGCTTGACTGTCTGGGGGGTGGAGTATAGGGCCGGCCAAACTCGTTGAAGTTGATGCCCGCATTCTGACGGGATAGCACAGGGAGGGCGCGCCAATCCTCCAGCCAGTGGGTCGACCAATCCCACCCAGACATGAAGTAGCTCGGGACCGCGTAGTCGAAGCCATTCCTGTTCCCTCTCTGCTTGCCCTTGGAGCAGTGGAAGTGGAAGGTGGACCTCGATAGCCGTCTCGGGGAAGACCGAGCCACATGTGTGAGGCGGAGCACCCCAAAGCAGCACGCCCACAACCCAAGTAAGGCCCGCCACTGAGGGTTGTTGCTGTTGTAGAGCTGCTCAATCCTGGTCTCCAGCTGCTCCAGCATGGGCGGCTCGGCCACTGCCGCTTGCTTGGGTTCCCTATATTGGGCTGCCCTCGGAAGTCATAGGCAGAGAGGTCATGCTCCAGCTGGCCTGCCTTCACCAACCATCGCAGCCCAGCCAGTGCACGGGATTGCGCCGCCGTGACCCCATACAAGAATGCATCCAGATCCACCCCATCCGGCGGAAAGGCGCGCCCACGATCCGTCATGTGAATCTGGAGCTCAGAAAAGGTAAGAAGGGCCCCTCGCACGGTAGCAGCCTCCGCCTCGCGGGCCTTTGCCTCTGCTTTCCGCTGAAGGGCCGCACGCCATTCGCGTTCCAGACCAACGGTCAGATCGCCCCGCGGGCGCATGGAGCCGAGGCAGTGAAGAGCTTCCGTCAAGGCTTCCACGTGGTCATCAGATGGCTTAGCCTCCTCCTTCGGAGCGGCCGGCTCTGCCCTTTGCTGCCACACGATTCCAAGGCAGAAGCAACAGCCCCATAGAGCCCCGAAGACGAAGTGGCCCGTACCGCGGCCCACTCTTCGGCAACCAAGGTCCCAGCCTGAGCCATAGCCTCCTCGTAGCTCTGGAAACTGAAGGCAAAGTCGCTATCGCTGAGGAGCCCATGCTGCTCCCGCCACTGCCCGGCACGCTGCCGAGACATTTCCCCCATGGCCGTGTATGCGCTCTCTGGCGCCGAGGCCGCTGAAAGCGACTCGGTCGCATAGACGCCCAGGTTCCCGGGCATGATTACCAAGGCGAGCCCCACTGCCCAAATCTGGAGCCCAAATCTAAAGGAGGAACCGGAACACCTTGAATCACAGCGCTCCGAAGCAAGAAACCTGCATCTGTCACGGGCCCCCCCAGTCCTGAAGGAAGAGTCGACCTCGCAAAGCGAGCCACGACGAGAAGGTGGCCAACACCATGGAGCGGCCACTCGCCCCCAAGGTTGGGCGTACCTCGCCCAACCCTCGGGGTCGCACCTAAGGCCTGTCCCTCAGGCCCGGCGTCTGGCATACCCCGACGACGGCTGTCCTGCGGCCCAGAAGAAGGAGCTGCCACCTGGCTGGGAGCCACGAACCGACAGCCAAGCGTCACACGCCCAGCCGCCGACTCCCCTGCCCAACACCCGTCAGTTGGAAGAAGAAGACTCCGACACCACGTCCCCAGCGGCTGCCCCACCAATCCTGGCCGAGAGGCGGCGACACTGCCTACACTGAGTAGTCTGCCACCGTGTGCGTCGAGGCAAGGGGTTACCACAGCGCAAGCACATAACCCGAAGGCAGCCAGGGTCGTGTTCCGGGTTGCCTGCATGAAACAACCAGAAGATAAGTGCGCGGCGATGACGGACATCGGGGTCCAAGAGAGCCTCCATTGCGCTGGGTACCTCACCTGTCCCAACCGAAGGGTCGCGCCAGACCCGCTGGCCTCTTTGCCACTGCCTCCAAGTGTCCAAAACCGAGGACAGAGAAGCCCCCGGCAGATCATGCAGTGTGTTAATTTCCGCCATGTAAAGAACCCGTGCCATCGTGGCAGTGAGCATGTCACGCATGGTGATGACCGAACCATGCAGGGTGAGTTCTTCATCAGTGAACATGACATCGCACTCGTAAAACCTGGTGCGAGCATCGTCGGGATGCCAGCCATCCGGAACCACAGTAGCCCCCACGGGCCTCATCACACCTTGGACATGGGGAAGCGACACAAGCGATGCGGCGAAGGGGCACGAACCTGCCGTCGATCCTGAGACTCGGGACAATGTCCAAGGGAGCAGGGAAGTGCACGACTTCACATACCTGGTTCCAAACATGCCAAAATGCCTCAGAGTCATTGTTCCTGCTGAACTCCCCCATATACCTGACAAAGGCCGACATGTTCTCAGCATGCAGGACCCTCGACTCGGTATAAGTGATGCGACCGACACGGGTAGCCACATCCATACCTATGGAGTCACTCTCCACAGAAAAAGGAAGTACCAGCTTGCCAGGTTTGGCTCTAGCTGAAGCTTAAGCCAAAAATTGCAATCAGGTACAAGGTTCCTCAGAAATGAAACATGCACACCCAAGCCTGCCAAACTCAATGCATGGACATGAAACCTGAATACGTGTATGCATGCAGAGATGCATACATACAATGCCATACAGCACAAAACCATGCAACTCATCACCAGGACGTAGATACAGAAATATGCAGGTACCCAGAAGGGTATGTGCACACGTTGTCCTTACTGCTGCCAACAAAACTACAAACTTGCTAACCATTGCCAGTACGATGATCTATGACGGATAACATTACCGCTAGTTAGCTAATTTTCAGTACCAGCAACACAACACGATTCAGTACATGCTTACTTGTTTTGAAGAGCTTCGTACATCCCGACATGTCCACATACGCACGCGCGCACACACACACTGACTGATTCGGCCAAGAGTACGAGTGCAAGAGGAAAAAGAGAGGCATGTTGTATGTGTTGCAAGTGCATGTCAGATTGCGGCAACCGTACAAAGCTGCATGCTCAAAGAACTGATGTGAAAAACTGTAAGAGAACTGATCTTGCTGCCTCAGGGGGCCAACGTTTTCTAATCGTGCTGCCTCAGGGGGCCCAGCTTGCAGGTACACAATTCAGCGTCCTGAACTGCTTCCCACTCCATGGCATAGCTTCGTTGCATTGGGTCTGCCAAGGAGTGCCCAATGCCCCTGCAATTGTTCTTGTGTTTCACAACATGTGTTTCATTGAAAATGTACTGTAGAAAATAATGCAAGCGAAAAGGAGTGACCCTCTGCTCCCATGTGCTAGGGAGGTTCACACACACACAGCCCCTGTTGGGGCGTGAATATTGCTGCTTTATGTAAACAATGTGGTGCTGAGCAGTCAGAATGGGTGGACGCTCTTTTCTTCGCAGTCAGAAGCGGACGGGTGACTGTCGCAATTCCTGATCGGAAATTGTCCTAACGAAAAGCACCGGCTTCAAAGTAGCCAAAGTTGTGACCGAATCCCAGTCATGTAATCGTCGTCGATTTTGTTCGAAGAAAAATGCTGAGATTTCTGGTGTTCTGCCGGTAATCTCCTTGATGCGATAGGAGAATATCTTGCGTGCTTGTAGCACGTTGTCGCCAAGACAGAGCACCACATGTATGGACATATGCTTGCCCCTGGTGATGCGGTCAGGTGGTATTTCGACCATCATCCGAAAGCACTGACCTCGCATAGAATACCATGGAAGGCCTGCTTCAGCGGCCTTTCGCTTTGGCATGAAATGGGTTGGGTAGCAGCTACTACCTGAAAGATGCTTCGACAAATCATGCAAACCAACATGAATGCCAATCAAGAGAAAGAGAGAGAGAGAGAGAGAGAGAGAGAGAGAGAGAGAGAGAGAGAGAGAGAGAGAGAGAGAGAGAGAGAGAGAGAGAGAGAGAGAGAGAGAGAGAGAGAGAGAGAGAGAGAGAGAGAGAGAGAGAGAGAGAGAGAGAGAGAGAGAGAGAGAGAGAGAGAGAGAGAGAGAGAGAGAGAGAGAGAGAGAGAGAGAGAGAGAGAGAGAGAGAGAGAGAGTCTCAACGTTGTGTACAAGTGAATCTGTTTTTTGCAGCACAGATTCGGGCCTTGGTGCTCCAGGGTCGCACAGAAAATTGTCACGGTCCTACGGCGGACCTGGAGGGACATTCGCTCAGTACTTTGAAATGACAACGGCATCTGTATCCCGCTCGTACCAGCATCTTAGCGCAGGCGGTCTTAGACCGTTTGTACATAATAGTTGGGTGCACCATATCATAAGGTGCAATAGAATCTGAAGACCAAGGCTCACGAGAAGGCGAGCGGCAGCGGTCGTCAGCTCTGTTTGAGGTTGCCGTAGGTGATGCTGATGATGTTGAGTGCGAAGAGTGTGTTCTCTTTCGCCTTGTTGTCTTCCGCTGCCTGTGACGTTGTTGCGGTGTAGGTGATGCTGAGGACGCAGTAGTACGTGGTTTCCTGAGTTTTTTGTCCTTCTTCTTCTTGGTCTTTCGAGCAGCACGCTTGTGTTTCTTGGATTTCTTGGGGCTGGATGGGCAATTGGCTGTCAGCGAAGTTGTTGTTCAGGCGTTGTCGTACCGCCGTCTGCATTGATTGCCAAGGTGCTGCTGGAAGTAGTTTGATGTTGTGATGCATCCTTTGCGAGGAAAGCCTCTAGTTCGTCGGATCCCCAGGAGCTGATGTCCTCACAATCGTGTTGTGATGCCATAACAAGTGCGTAAGCGTGATGGTAAAAATGGCTGCGGAAAGTAAACAAGAACATGTGTTGTGTTGGTTGGTGGCAGTGTTAGTCTGACAACCACGCGGAACGATTGCACAGCGGATTGTTTACTGATGCTCTTAATGAGGATTCCCACATCTTCCCTTGAGTAGATGTGCAAGTACAGCTTTGCTGTGTAAGATGGCTGCTGTAAGCAGCAAATGTGCAATGAATTATCAACTCAGTCGTGATACTCATGGAGTGCGAGATCTCTTTCTCTTGTTGGATGTAGGTGTCGTGGTGTCGGATTCCACCTCCTGCGTAATAGTGCCGGGGGATGTTGCACGTCGATCATGTGCTTGTGAGTGGTTGCGAATCCACTCCTGGGAAGCGATGAAATATTCTCGCCACCATGAAGAGCCGTTAGTGGCCCAATGCCATCTCCATTCCGCTGCGCATGGAGATCCGGATCGAGTGCGTCGCTCCATGATGGTATCACAACGGGTTGTAGTTAAAATGGCTACGGTCAACAATGTATGGATGTTCAAACTCAATGTGTGATGCAAAGGATGTGCAGCACTCCAACTTCGTCGTGTGGCGCAAGCAACATGTCTCTATTTTGAATCGCAAAAAGTAGGTTCATCCTGCGCTGCATTGTGATTAACAGTCTTTACTGTTGAATCAAAGCTTCAAGTCTGTCGACTCGATCTCTCAACTCTGAAATTTGTTGATTTGTTTGCAAAATAAACTCGGCCAGCTGATCACGGAGTGCCCAGTCGCTGAACGTAGAGCCTTCACTGCTATTCTCAGAGTCGTGCTCTCGGTGTTCCGTCAAAATCTCGAACAGAGCTTGGCTGAGAGCTTCTCGACTTGCTTCCTGGATGTCTGTAGTTGTGGTCTGTGTCGGGTTGGACGCATCGCTCATAGCTCCGGATGGAGGACTGGTGGGTAACTGGCTACAGTGAGAACAGTTGCTAGAGCATACAAGGTTGCGAAAGAAGCGATGACGTCAACCCTTGCACATCGGCCACATTGACATGTTTGAACAGGTGCATCTTTTGTTGATCTGATGCACGCATCCACACCTAGGACCAGTCTGGCGTGTTCTGCCTCAGCAAGCTCTCAAGAATATCAAGTTGCTGTTTGCACGAAGCCATGATTGCGGTGGTGGCTTCATGTTGAGTCGTCAAAACTGTTGTGGCTTGTTGTATCAAGCGTTCCAGCTTGTCATTTGACTCAAGCAACGAATTGTGAAACTGATGCAGTAAATTAATAATCTCAGTTGTGCTTGTTGTCACCGGCGGTGCTTCAGGAGGAGTAGCCGGCCCTGGAACGTGAGGCTGACGAAGTTCTTCAGGATCTTCCATTAACTCCTGATGTTGCTGTTCGTCTTGGTGTTCTTCCTCCTGTTGTACTCCCACCCGCCAAATCTGAGAGCGGAGCGGGGCTGTCGGCGGATCTGTACTGCATGTGGAGGGTTGGTAGCGTCCACGTTTGCTTTGCTTGGAGATGGCCGACTGGGGTGGTCGGTTGCCCAGCGCTTTGTGCCGAGGCTGCAATCTGCCAGTCATGGCACTTTTATACATGTTTAAATTCAGTCCGTCTCTGGATTTCTCGCTTTTGGCTCTTATGGACATCTTGCGAGTCCGATCCATGCACAGGTGGCGTCTCACTGGCAGGCAGTTTAAAGTGTGGAACACTAAAAACGGCTGCGGTATGAATCGACTGCAAGGTGCAAGGGCAACAGCGCTTGATGCAAGAAGAATACAGCTCCAAGCAGCGGTGCCTGTTGTTTTTCTTTACAGCTGTCGGTCATTGTAGCCGGCCGCGATGTACAGATCGCGCATGGCTCGAATGGCGTGTTTGGCTTCACTGCTAGGTGTGGTCACCCGTCGGACCATACGGGTGCGTGCCTCATAGCTGCTTCGTAGTGTTGCGTTGGAGGTGGCCGATTGTGGATGTAAAATGTCGGCTTGGTGTATGTTGCACTGGTAAGTGAGGCTGCTGTGTTGTGGATTGACAGCAAAGCCCAGGAAAACATCTGCCGGTTCAGTTTCAAGCTGAACCGGTGGCTTGTAAAAGGTTGCAGCTGTGAGCTGTACAAAAGGAGGTAGTCGTGTCAAGTGTTTTGGTAAAAGAAGGACACGGTTATCAACATATCTGGTTGCGAAAAATATCGCATGATCGTTGTGGGTGGTGCTGGGAAAGTGCTTGTGATTGGTGAAAATTTGTTTGTAGGTGTGGTGCCAACACTGTTCTTCCACTGCTACAACTATGTTGCACAAAGCTGGGCTGCAAGGTGAACCCATAGGTGCTCCACGAAATTGTTCGATGAGCGCTGTGCCCACCGTAAAGTAGTTGAGCATCAAAACAGCGGTGATGAGCTGTGGAATGTGTTGAAGCTGAATGCATAACTTGTTGCCCGATGATGCTTCTTGTTGTTTTTGTCTGCTTTTGCCGCGGTGACATC